GGCATGTGCACTTGGGAGTGAGAACTACAATAAATAGGTCAACATACGCAGTTGAAAGACTCTGGGAGCAGGAGGTGCTTCATAGTCTCTCTCTCCTGGGAACTTCCTGGTTGTCCCTGCCACTCCCGGTGGAACAAGATGGCTGCAGGTGGGTTTAGACGGCCCTAGACTTAGGATGAATCAATTTAGCCTTTTTCAACTTTCTGACGATGTGAAAGTGATACTCATTTGCAGAGACTCTTCTTCCATGTCTGTATTCTGATCTTTTCCCAGGTCAGTCACACAGACGACTGTGTTCTCTTGCAGTGCCCTAGTGAGAGCAAGCTACAGCTCCCAACCAGCCCTGCAGCTCACAAGGCGATAGCTACCCAACAGTGCACCACAGGACCAGTGGTTTTGGTTATTGCATTTTGTGATTTCATATCCATTTAACAATAAAATGCAGGAACCAGTCAACATTTAGTTAGAGTAGTCTCCTGTTGGATGACTTTTCCCAGCCGCAGACTAATATGAGTGGATTGAGAAGGCTGAAGACAGGCTGGGCTGAGCACTGTCTGTTAGGTTGTGTTGAAGGCATTTTCAACTAGCACTGTGTTTAACCTCCCATGGCTTTTGGGGGGAGGGGGTACAACCCCACCTTAAGTCAAGTAGAAGCTCTAGTAGACTATGATCAAACTCCAATAGGTTTGATGCTGGGAAAACAGTTGCTTTCCCAAGCAGATCCTGTGAAGAGCACAGCACTCAGGCAGGTTTCACAATGTTCCCCTACCCTCTCCACTGACCATGATAAATGCCAGGGGTTATCCTCCAAATAGTCCCTGGGGAGCCTGGATGAACTCTTGAAAGTAAAATTCAGAAACATATACAGTCTGGCTAAACTGGGTCCCCAGTGTTTTGACTTCTACACACCTCATATTGGCCTCTAGCCATGTGCCAGTCACAGTTCCACTTCCTGCTAAGGTCCCCAGGTTGTGTTCCAGGCAGGGAGGGATGAGTCTCTATTTGCCTTCAATTTGGAGTTGAGTGACTTACTCTGTGACCTTATTATATTCAATGTTGAGAAGAGCTTTTTCCCTGTAGGGATGGAGTGGTGATCTAAACTCAAATTCTAACAGGTAAGTGGGAATCTGGAGGCCTTTTCTGCTTTTGTATGTTTGGGGGTTTCTTGTATAAGCTTGTGAGTGTGTGTGTGTGTGTGTGTGTGTGTGTGTGTGTGTGTGTGTGTGTGTGCTGTGGAGGTGAGAAAATAACCTCAGGAGTTAGTCCTTGGCCTCCATCTGTTTTGAGGCAGGGTCTCTTTGTCACTTGCTGCTGCATACTCCAGGCTAGCTGACATGCAAGATTCTGGGGATCCACCTGTCTCTGAATCTCATATTGCCATGGGGAAACTGGGACTACATAGAAGTGGGTTCTGGAAATGTGTACTCAGGTCCTCACACCTACACCTGCATGACAGGGCTGTTACCCATTGGGCCATCCTTCCTGCCTTCTTATATCACTTCTTCACTCTTATGTATAGTGGGATCTTAGGTAATTTGTCTACAAGTTCTTGGTAATAGATTATGGTTATAAACATGTTTCATCTATCAGGGAGTGTGGTAAATATAATCACTCTTAAACCTCATGAAAACACACTTTTTTTTCTCCCATTTTATAACAAAGAAACTGAATCACAAAGAGTTAAAAGAACAGCCTTGAGCCCAAATTCACTGTGTTTTACCTGACCCTGGGGCATGTTCTCTATCTAGACCACCACAGTCTTTTACTACATGACTCCTAAAAATCCTCACAACATTCTGACCTGATTTAATCATGAAGAAATTTAGATCTTCCAACAGATTATTCTAGTTGTATAGATCTCAGTTTACCATTCCACCATCCAAAATCGTGGCATCTGAATCTCCTACAATTCATTGTAAGAACACAGCTGTGCTTTCATTGGTTTGCACAGAAACTGATGTTCACATGGAAACACACAACAAAACACCATCCCAGACACTCCTGAAGGCCTTTCTCATTCTGCCAGAGGCACTCACATTGGCTGAAGAGAAGACAGTACTGGGGAAAGACTCCTGTGTTCATATGAACGGAAACAGACCCACTGCTTTCTATGACAAATGAGAGCTGAGTCTTACATAAATAGAACATTAAGAACACTAATGTCTGAAGCCAATCTATGTTGTCCTGATTCTGCTATATACACATTGAGGTTCGCCATCAACAGCAGACAAGCCAACAGTGATCCCTGCCAGAGGCTTCTGCCAGCTGTCTCCATGAATGCAGGGTCTGTTCCACAGCCGCCCTGTCTAGTTGGAGTTTCGATTGACTGCACAGTTCCTTCTTTCTTCATGGCAACATGCATTATCTGCACTGCTAAACCATTTTCTTTTGCTGGAAACTAATCCAGAATGGAAACATAAAGAGAATATTCAGATTTCATTGGAGTTCACATTTGTAGGCACTGGGGTCTGAATATTTCTGTCTTTCCCCCCAAATTCTTGTGCTGATACCCAATCTCCAAAGTGGGGACTTGGAAAGTAAGGTGATCGTGAGGGTGGAACTCTTGAGAATGAGATTAAAACCCTATAAAGGAATTCCAGCCAAAGAGAACCCTGAAAGAAGGCAACAGGAAGCTGACTCACACTCCCACAGCATTCCCAGCAGACAGCAGTACACTTTTGTGGAATGGAAATTACCCAGTCAAGTATTTTATCATGGCAGCCAGGAAGACTCAAGACAGCTAATTTGGGTTATAGGGGCAACAAAGGGAGATGTTGAAATATCCAAATGTACACTAGTTAGTATGTTCCCTTTTATCATCCAGGGCTCAGCTTGAGACGATTGGTCAACATTTGGAACATTATACCACCAGGAATTCTGTATGCCCTACCCTAGTCTCACATGTTGAGAAAGGGCTCACATTTCAGATGTGTGTGTGTGTGTGTGTGTGTGTGTGTGTGTGTGTGTGTGTGTATACATATCTCCATCCATCCCAGGGCTCAATAAAGAACAGTACTAGAAATGCTTTTCAACAAAGTCACTTTGGATTTTGTTATGGTATCTCTAACTTTTTATGTCTTAAAACACAAGTGTTAAATGCTTTTTTGTTTAATAAATTTGAAGATGATAAATACCGAATTAGTTATGATAGGTTTTCTGGGTATATTTTTGACATAGCTAGGGTTTCTTTTATTCATTCCTTGGTCATGGACATGTGCTTTGGGTCCGCACCTGCCTGGGTGTCAGAGCAAGCACCGAGAAGCAGCAGCATGTTATAAAGCTCACCAAAGGGGAAATCACTTGGAGAGGAGAATAGGCTAAGAAGAGACAAGTACCATATTTTCTCAGAAGAGCCAAAAGTAAGGATGGCTGAAATGCTGGCCTGATCTTGTGTGGTCCCTTCTTCCCTAGAGTGTAGGGTTTTCTCATGTTCTGCTGGCTAGCAAGACATTACACAAATGTTAAATCCTGTGTACTAGGGGCAGGACCAGAAAAGGTGAGCCTTCCAGGTAGGAATATTCTAAAACACAAACTGGTAAGTATGTGTTTGTTTAGATGCTTCCTGCACCAGAGTGCAGACAGTACATCGAGAATCCCCAGACCATTCCTACACAGACGTCATAGACAGGGATGCTCCTCATGCTGGAAAGGAGCTATGGTGATATTTTATTTGTACTGAAATATGATTTTATTTGTATGTTAATAAATAAAGTTGCCTGGGGATCAGAGCTAATAGCAAGCCACAGCAAAAGTCTGGCAGTGGTAGCAGATGCCCTTAATCCCAATCACATGACAGGCAGATCTCTGTGTGTTCAAGGATACCACCAGCATGGAGACACATGCCTTTAATCTCAATACCAACCATAGAAGATCTGGAGGTCTGTATAGATGAGCAGTGATGAGGAGGTCATGTGGTTGGGTTTACAACCAATGAGAAGGCAGAACAGAAAGTCTATAAGAAGACAGACACACAGGAAGTAGTTCTCTGACTGAGGAGGACAGCAGTGGCAGTGAAGGGTAAGGTTTTTAGCTCTTAGCTACTGCTCTGACCTCTTGGGCTTTTTAACTTGGCAGTCGGCTCTGTGTTTCTTATTTAAAAAGACGGTTACATCTACAAGGAGCAGTAAAGGCTGTGACTCTACAGAAGCAGAATGTGGACAACTTATGAGAGATGAAAATTAAATACTTTGAAGACAAGACTTTGTCTAATTCATACAAGGTGCCTTACAGACTGCATGGCTTTTGTTCATTCTGGGTATCTCTCTCGCCTCTTCCAGATACAGAAAGGAAGTTTCAGTGGAAGTAATCCTTCATCATTTCTGCACTCATCCTTCAGGGATGCCCCACAGGCCATCCCTAGGATGCAGGGGTGCTGTTGAGAGAGTGGTACTAGAAAAGGAGCAATGCACAGGGACCCAGATCACTTGTTCTTAGCATCCTCCCTCATTGTCAGGGACCAAGGGGCAGCTCACTGTGTTTCCACTGCGGTTTCCTGTGGCCAAGCAATCGGAATATGTCAACCCTAAACATAGTGCCTGCCTTGCTCTGTTCAGAACAGTGTCTTTGCTCACTCCAACGCAACAGCCCAAGAGGGCTAGGCTTGTGGCAGACACAGGCAGAATAATCACTGATTACAGCCAATGGGAGCAATTCTTAAGCAGACACACTCTTGGATTAACCACGATGAGGCTGTCATTCACATCATAGAGCAAACAAGGACAACTGATTGTTACACACGGCTGGGCCTCTTCTGGGCTTTATTTTTCCTTAACTAGGAAAGTATGCGGACTGGTGTGGGCCACAGGGAATTTCATTTTCAGAAACAATTAAAAAGACAACTTGGAGAAGTAAAATAAAGAAGGTTATTTCTATTTTATAAATAGAATAGGTGATGTTTTTTGAAAGGAAGAAGTAAAATAAGAAATAAAAGGACGTCCTTCTTGGCTCACGGTGACCCAGGAGTTCTGGGATTGACCTCCCCGCCAAGGTGCCCTGCTCACCTTGTAGTGATCCATGATCTCAGCTAGCCAGGGCTTCACCGACTGCACTGTGTCCTCTCTCAAGTACTTCTCGACCTCGGCACCGTCACTGAAAGTCCGGTTTCCCACGTGGATGGCTTGTCTCACTTGTGGGAGTGACAAGAATTTCCCGTAGTAACCTTGGTCCTCAGGTTCCTGGCAGAAGGTACATCAGTTGGTGTCATGGAGGAGGATGTCAGGCATGGCCTAGAGGGAAAGCTGAGACTTTCTCACAACACACAGCACAGTAAACAGGACGTGACTAAACCGTTAACTTGTCCTTGGGCTTGACATTTTAATGGGGCATCCTAGTCAGGTAAGAGGAACCCTTTCGCTGAGGCCAGACACAGGGGATCTCCTCAGTTTGCAGTCAGTATCCAATGTGCCCGGAGAATGGCTTTTCTTCCTCACACTAGTCTTTGCAGCCCTACCATCTAATTAGCCAGCTCATTGGTGACAATACCGGAGAAAGGAAAGAGGGTAGACTATGTAAAGCAATCACGCCTTGACCTTGGCTCTGTGCGAGATGGTCAAGCTGCTTTTAAGGGACCAGGGGCAGCATAGTGGTTTAAAGCCATGGTGTACTTGCCATTTTCTGCTGTTCACTAATATCGCTCTGTCTCGCCCCTCCCTCGCACAATCACCTGATTATAATTTATGGGGGGATTATATCGTAGGCAAAATACTGATACTTAATAAAAGACATAAAGCAAGTTACCTACAGCCCTTTTTAAAAACCAAACCGCCCCCTCAAAAAAACCTACTCAAAAGTCTCTAATAATCATTAAGCTTTAAAGAAAAAGGAGCAAATATTCATTTTTTTAAAAAATCCTCTAGGTTACAAAAATACTGTTTAGGATTTATGTTCAACAATTCTGTGCTTCATCAGCAAATTTTTTTTGGCTGTGAATATATTACTTTCTACAGAAAAACATTATAATCACAAATTCTGTTTCTCTGTTTCCTGCCATGTTTTGTTATTGTCCAAAACCACAGGGCTGGGAATCCCACCAAAAGTAACTTAAAATTTTACTTACAAATAGCTCATAAATAAGGCAATTTAAAAACCGAATGTATTGTCCTGTGTGGTAGACAAAGAGTCCGCACATCCGAACTGCCAAGCGGGCTCTCCTTCTCTTATTCACTTAACTCTACACAAAAGATGTCAGTCAACTCTGGCCTACTTTTATGAAAGAAACTACTTGAATACTTTAAAAAGTATTCCAGAGGCCTTGAAGTGAGGGCGGTCCTAGATGTTCTAAACACCTCAAGTTCAAAGTAAGACAAGGCAAATATTTTCAGGGAGGCTTGGCAGTGTTGATTACCTCAGCCATCTTAAGTGCATAACAAAGAACGTGGATGTTTTCAAGAGACTCAGATTGAAGCCTGAACCCAGCACTCAGGGCTGCAGTCCCAGCCTGCACCCTCCCCAGAGCCCATCCTCCCAGGGACAAGGTCTAGTAGGGACACTGAGTTAAACAGACACCATTCTGCACTCTCTAGAATATCACATATTATGGGTGTCACTCTAAGCAGCCATGAGAAACAAGCCCCAGGGGTCAGGAGACAAAATTATGCAATACCCGTCGGACATAGCCATCCAGTTTAAACTGAGCTATGCTTCCCAATCAGAGGCTGTTCAGTTTGGCCCAAAGTTGGAAGCAGACATTACTGTGTTTTTAACATGTCGTTGTTACCGTGCACTGTAAAATGTTGTAGTAATTGGTACACCCTGTCACATTCTGGAAGTAGGATGGCTCATTTGTTAAATCACTGTCCAGCAGCTTATCCAGGATCTAGGTCAGAGAGGGAGAAGGGAAGGACAGTGTCAGGGAGGTCTAGCATGCACAGCCCTTGTTGTAGCATGCAGTCAGGACGTCTTTCTTTCTTACTTTTCTTTTTGTTAGGATGTGTATATCTATATGTGTGTGTTTATGTGTTTACATATGCGTTCATATGCATGATATGCATTTGCATGCACTCACACATACGTGGAGGCCCAAGGACGACAGCCTTGGGTATCATTCCTGTCCACTGTTTTCTTTGAGACAGGGTCTCTCACCCACCTAGGACTCGCCAAGTAGGGTAGATTGGCCTCCCCAGCACAAGGCCATGCCACCATGCCCAAGCTCTTGTTTATACTTGGGTTATGGGGCTCAGATTCCAGGTCTTTGGGACTGCATGACAAACACCTTCCCAATTGAGCTCTCTCTCCAGCCGCTATATTTTAAAACCTTTCTCATTTCACTTCCTGAACATTTGTAACAGGCGAACAACATCTCTCGTAGAACTTACATTCTCGGGAAACAAATAAGCATGGCAAGACAAAATGCATCAAGTGTTAGAGCCATATGTGCGTTGGGGATGGTAAGGAGAAGAATGGGAGGCGTTATGGGTGTGTGTGCCTACAGGTAGGGGGCACTGAAAAGCAAAGTTTCACTTAGAAGATGGCAATTGAGTTATGACTCATTGGCTGGGAGAAAACCAGGAACATAGACAACCAGGGGAAGACTATTCTAGGCAGAAGACAATAAAACCAGATGCTTCAACTTGGGAGTTTGCCTAGTGAGAGGGGTTGCCTTCACAGGGTCCCTGGAACACTCACCCACAGCATGAGCAGAGAGGGCATGGAATGTGGGCTGAGATTCAGGGTCTTAGAGCTGGTGGCAGGTATCTATAGACTCCAGGTTTCATCACCACTGGGTAAGGTGACATTTGCCATGGCTGTTGGCTTTTCTCCAGCCATGGGCTGCTGAACAAGGGCCAGCATGGAGGGAACAAAGAAGGAGCATCAGCCAGGGTTTCGGCTTAGCCAAAGAGGTTGGAGGAAGCGTTAGCAGAGCTCAGTGGCTGGAATGTGTGAATGGACCTGGGTTTAGGTTGGGTACTCAGAGAAATGAAGACTCAGGGCTTAGGGCTCACGAAGAGGTGGTGATTCAATGGGCTGAGAGGCATCTGAGCTGGACAATGGCTTCAGCTGGTTCATGAACATACGTGGGCTGGGGGGATAAGATGTGGCAACTGAATCAAGATATTTCAGCTTCAGATTGTGGGTGATGGCTCTGGCAGCTCTTCAGTTGTTTATTTACTTGGTTGCTTTTCTGGTTTTTGTTTTGTTTTGTAGCAGGAATAAGTAACTAAAGGGGAGAACAAGACTGCTAAAGAACACAAGAATTGAGTATTAAAACATCCCCCTGACGGATACTACAGTTACCAGGAATTATATTGGGAGTGATGGTGAGCCAAACCAGCCAGAGAATGTGAAGAGAGACCAGGGCATAAACAACTGGCCTAAACAGTGCTTGGTGGCGCCCTCTGAGGCTGTGAAATAAAATGCTCAGTGCTTTAGGGGGAAGAGAAAAGTGTTCTGGAAGCCGCCGTGAGGAAAGAGGGAGATAGCTGCCCCACCTATGGGTCAACCGGAGAGATGCGGGTGTGTGTGTGTGTGTGTGTGTGTGTGTGTGTGTGTGTGTGTGTGTCGCATGTTAGGAGAGTGTCAGGCCTGCGTTAAAGCAGGAAGAAGAGAGGAGGAGGTGAAGGTGTGTCTTCTCTTTCTGCTGCTGTTGCTGCTGCTGCTGCCGATGTATTTTAAGAGGGTCCTCTGAAAGGACGGTATGACATGAACGCAACCCATTCTGAAAACCATCAAGGATGAGTTAAGTTTATTATAAGATAAAATAGCATTGTCCTAGTGTTGGGTGAGGAAATTAGGATGCCCAGAAGTGCAGTAACTTGCCAGGGCACCCGCTGATAAAGGCATGAGTGAGACTCTAGCCCCTCCACGACTTCAGCCGGCACCCTCCCTGTCCTCAACACCTCTGGCTGTGCAGTGGCCCCACATCTGGCTGTATAGAGATGAGGGGTCTGGATGAAGAAGGAGAAGGGTAAGAAACCATCCAAAGTGAGCTAGGCAAACCAGGGATTCTGCTCCAGGCTACATCTGGAGAAATACCCATACTCCAACCTTCACACTGTGGAGATACCTGCGTGTTAAACAATGAATCCACAGGTTCATAGCCCAGAGCAGGTGTCTTCCTTTAATTTGCCCACTCTAGGGTAGAAGTTGCACTGAATGTGCACATCATTTGTGGAACTCATCTTTAGAAGCCATCCTCAACACCAATGAGAATGTAGGTTAAACCTTTTTTTTTTTTTTTTTTTTTTCCGGTTTCTTGAGACAGGGTTTCTCCATGTAGCTTTGGTGCCTATCCTGGATCTCACTCTGTATACCAGGCTGACCTCGAACTCACAGAGGTCTGCCTGGCTCTGCCTCCCGAGTGCTGAGATTAAAGGCGTGGGCCACCGCCGCCTGACTAGATTAAACCTTTAAAGAGTCAGTTTGTTGGGGTTAGGGTGAGAGGTTCATTGATAAGGTTCTTGCCCTATAAGCATGAGGACCCAAGTTCAATTCTCAGTACCCATGTCTAAACCATGGAGTATTGGTGCTCACTAATAATATCTGAGTTTTAGAGATGGAAAGAGGGAGATTCCTGGGTTCTCAGGCAAGTGAGAGACCCTGCCTCAAAAAGCAAAGTGGAGTGAAGAACACATCTGACATCAACTTCTGTCCTCCACAGGTGCATAGGTAAGCACACATCTGTGCTAGTATTTATGCACATGCACATACATGTGTGCATACATGCTAATTTTTAAATGAAAAAAGCAAAATAGTAGGTTTGCTTTCACCAAGAAACAAAATCACTTGCCGTCTAACAAGTAATGCAGCTAGTTTATTCAATCTTTTGAAATCTACTTTCTAATCAAAACTTGTTTCACAGAGAATGTTCTGTGATTCAGAGCATCATCAGGAAGGAGAGAGGAGGGACCAGAGATCAGCCATTTTACTCTTGGAGAATTGTGAGGATGCCCAAGGAGTTTTATGGAATACCCAAGAACTACTGCAGAAGGGAGAAACACTGGGCTAGGAGTCAGGCCAACCCATCCCAGCCCTAGGCCTCCCACAATCTACAGGTATCCTTCTATGACTCATGACTCTCTTCTGTGCCCAGCATCCCCACCAGTGCATGTGCAGGGATGGCATCACCTGTCTCCCATGTTCTCACCAGCTGTTACTGCTCTTTTACTAATTGATCCATCTTAAAAAATCAGAACCCTGGGTCAGGAGGAGGAGGCCCAGCCATGAAGAGCACTTGCTGTTCTTGCAGAGGACCCATGTTCAGTTGCCAGCACATACTTATTGGCTCACAACCAACTGTAAATCCAGTTCCAAGGATGTGATGCCTTGCTCTGTCCTCGAGGGGCATCAGAAATGCATTGGTACACATATATACATGCGGGCAAATACTCACACATAAAATAAAATAAGTAAAATTTAAAAATAAGAGTCAGAACATCAAACAGGCTGAGTCTGTTGGACTTGAGATTTGGATATCTGTGTCCTTTTGAACTGTACAATGTCTTAGCATCTTTGGCTAATGTACTAAACACTGCTTTGTCTGTTTCCTTTGAAAACTCAGAGGCTTTGATCCATCTCAAGATCTTGGATCAGTGATTGAAGAGACATCTCATACCTTCAAGGAATGACAATGGAGGTCTTTTAAGTTTCTACTGAATTTGGTTTAGGAGAGACTCCTGGGCCAGAGCCTCATTGTCTCCAACTGCACAAAATACTCATACTTTTCAATAGTTTTCCCAGCCTGTAAGTGTCAGAGCTGTCACATCATGTGCCACGGACATCATTTTACCTCCTTCTTTCAGGTCTCTCAGCTGGTCTTGACACTGCTTAACAATCTCTGTGAGCTCCTTCAAGCCCATAGCAAATGTCTCTCTTTTGCAAATTAGTCTCACATCACATAAAGCTTGGTAGTAATTCTCAATTCTCAAGCTTTCCTCTTTTCCCTATCTCTAGCATAGCAGGCAGCCTAAAACCCAAAGCCTGTCTGGAAGATACTATTAATGTCCATGAAAGCATGTATGATCTTACATGCTCACAAGACAATCCCGATTCCTTCGTGTTTACATCTGCACAAGGCATCTGACTCCATGTTTTGCAGCCACATCTGGTACCCTGACACAGAAAGGAGTCTGTCAGCATTCTGCCTAGGGCTGGGACTTCCCTTTCTCAAGCCATCTGCACAACTTGCTGTTCCCAGACTCCATAGCAAACCAAGCCACCTCCATGAGGGGTCCCATTAATGTCCTGCAACCCTACTCATAAAATGAGCATCACTGTAAAGCTGCCCCTTTTCTCCCCAGGTTTGCATGTCTGCTGTTTGGGTCATAACTGGCACATTTGATGCACCTGAAATTCTATTAACATCAAGCCTTGGTCTGAATGGTCACAATGACTTTAGGTACATGGAATATGAGTCTAATAGCAAGCATACTGAGGTCGGTCCTCGGAGTCCAGCCCTTGTCTCGTCTACCAGCATGTCAGGCAGGATGGCTCTATAGATGTGTAGCAAAATCACGGAAGGAAGATTGCTTACTCTGCTTTTGCATTGGCTGAAACATGCAAGTTCCTGTATCAAAGTGTTAAGTATAACCGCACACCTTAAATAACCCAAATCCAAAGAAAAACAAGCTGGTGAAGCCTCAAATCATATCATCATTTTGTTCAATTGTTAGGTTAACTGGGTAATAATATTCACACACACACACACACACACACACACACACACACACACACACACACACACTATTTCTGTTGGAAGATCTTTCCCATTACACTACATTTTGTAGTCTTTGATCCTGACACTTGAAAGCATGGGACTTTGGTTACACACCAGGTCACTTCTCCAGCTGGAGCCCTGCTTGTGGACATAACCCTTCTAAATGTTTCCAAGCATCTGTTGAAGCTCAGGCATCCACTTCCCAGGTTGCCTTGCTTCTGATTTCCATATGCTACAGGACCCCTTCAGATCCCACACAGCATTTAAGGAAATCAGAACAGCTCATGAAAGACACAGATAAGCATGCCAGGATGATCTCGGGTTGAAAACAGCCAAAGTGAATTCAGAGAAACGTAGGCAATGCTTTTCTTCATGCCCACTCCTCCCTCCTCCTGATCTTAGACAGAGGAGGGGATAGATACCATCCCCAACGCTGGAACAGCATGGTGTGCCTCCTGACCCCGCCTCTCCTCAGATGGTTTTAATTGCTGTAGGGCAGCCTGGGGGCCCCAGAACTCACTTCAAAGGCCTCCAGCCAGTGCTGATCTTTGATGTATTTTATGCACTTGTTGCACTGCTTCTGGAAGTGCTTTTGCTGCTGCTCATCCAACAAGCCAATTTGGTACAGGAATGTTGCATACCCTCCTATAATCTGGGGACAGAAGAGACAGGCATGAACACCAGAGAGAAGAGGTCAGGACACCCTGTGCCTCGAGAAGAAACACTTTGCAATGGCCTATTAATGTTTGCTGGAATTAGTCAAGGAGGGCAATTATACACAGAGACATATACAACAGAAAAGTCACACATACAGCACAACACACACAGATGTACAATCTGGCATCGGCAACCAATGAGGCTTGAACGGTAAGTTGACACACTGAAAGGTTTAGTTAAGAATTAGATTGGAGCTAAGTTAACATTGCCTTTTAGCAAGTTAGGCCTCTGAGGTAAAAGTGGTGTTCATCCAATTCAAAGGAATTAGTCTCTGTAAGGGACAGACCGAGAAAGAAAAGGCGGGTCACCAACCGATTCGGGATCAGAGTATGCATCTCCAATGGCAATTCCTTCCAGGCGGATCTTGAACTCTCTCACGGGGTTGAGGGAGTGGATATAGTGTGCTATGGCCGGCACATACTTCCCTGCATAAGACTGAGAAGGACAGATGTTGAAATGACAGTCCCAAATTGATCCACACACAGCTGCATGTGCTGAAGCTAATTAACAATAATTATTTCCATCCATACCTTCGGCTCACTTTGAAAATTCTACAGTAACAAAGAGCTTTACTCTTACCTCTGTTCTCACACCATATGGCCCCAAGTGACATGGAAAACACATAAATACCATGTTATCATGGAACATTCTAATGTCCTTCAACACAAAATGAATGACCTAGAGCACTGGACACACAATTCTATCACCTGCTGGGTGTCTCTTCCCACAGTCTTCTATTCCAACTTTTACTAAAAGAAAGAAAAAAAAAAAACCTCAAGTCTAAACCTAAGACTTAAAAATCTGCATAATGATGCAAAATTTAAAATCAGTGTGTATTAAAGGAATAGGAGAAGGGGCCAACCCGATAATATTGGTCACAGATTTTCTTTGAACTTATCTGTGTGTTCCAGCTTTTTCTAGCACAGGATCCTTTTTCCAGGCAAATTATTTTATGGGCCATTTTTCTTCTAACAACACAGTACTTCCACTTTCAAACTATTTCAGCAAGTGCTATTATTGGTTCAGTTATACAGCTTTATTTTTTTTATTACATACATTTTATTTATTAGGGGGGTGGGTCAGAGTCAAGTCTTTCCTTCCACCACATGGGTTCCAGAGATGAACCTTAGGTCATCAGACCTGGCTGGAAGCACTTTTTTCCTGCTGAGCCCTCTCACTGGCCTGCTCGGTAGTATTTGGAAACAGAGTTTTGATTAATTCCACCAAGAGTTGCCTTCATGGCTTGTCCAGTTGTTTAATCCAACTGGAAACTCCATATGCTCAGAATGAAGCCCTCAATCCCAGAGTCTTCCGGTAACCTCCCTTGCGATTCATGTGAACTTTGTTCTGAATGTGCCGGCCAAAAATCTCAGTATCATCATTTTTTTGTGTTTCTTTCTCTTGTACCCCTTAAAGTTCACAACGAGGCTTGTCAATCCTATCTAGCCTATCAAATGCACCTGGAATACAGTGTCTTCTTCCATGTCTGGTTCCTTGCCCTCCTCCAGGTCGCCATCACACTATCTGCAGCCTGGGTGACTGCAGCAGCTTCCAGGTTGGTCTTCTTTGGCCCTTAGGCCCAGCCACTTTATTTTCTAGACAGTGGTACAGTTAAAGCACAAGCCAGCCCATGCCATCCCTCTGCTTAAATCTTTCTGTGGCTGTGTACCAGAATCAAAGCAGCAGGCTGTATTTAAGACATAAAGTCTAATGTGAGCTACTCCTTTCCCCAGCCTCAGCCCATGCTCCCTTCTTACTCAATCCTTTACAGCCCCACTGGGGGCCAGAATGTTCCCCATGTGCACCAGGGCCTTTGTGCTCATATCTCTTTCCACCTGGAATGCTCTCTCCCACATATCTGTGTGGTTCATTCCCTCATTCCTTTAAGTGAGGCCACCTGAGCAATGTCTTCTCTGGCCTCTAACCAAAAATGTAATAGTCCTGTTTTCTTGTTTTACATCCTTTGCTTTCTCACTTAATCCTCACACTTCCTCAACAAATGCTTACCTACTCATCAGCTTACATCATCCTGTTTGCCCCCATCCTCGAAGATGCCTGAATGTAGACATAGCATCTACTGTGCTTATTTTTGTTCACGCTGCCTGATGCTGTTAGTGTCCAATAAATAGCTGTGAAACTAATGAGTCCATGTGCATTTGGAAAAGGGCAATGCACAGGTCAACTAGAGGCCTTAGATGGGTATCTGTGAGTCCACAGACCTTCTATGACATTCCCAAGGCTCTTCATAGGCTTGGAACATGTGGCTGCTCTAATTGATCTATATCATAATCCCAGTCACAGGTTGCAAACACCACTGTCCTCCCTTCAAGCTAAGACACAGAACTTGGAGAGGTTAAGTGGTAAGAGTCACATGTGGTCTGATCTACTCCAAAAGTTCCAACTCCCTTCAAGCTGATAAAAGCAGGTAATTCACATAACTTATCTGAGATCTTGTTTGCACAGCCAGCCCTCTTGTGCAAGAGCAGTTACTTAGGTAAAGCAGTGAATCAAAACACCTCCAGCATTCATTCTTAGGAATCTGTTTTAGTTTCCTTGTGGCAATATAAAGATGGGATTATATGTCTGAAGTTTGGTTTGCTGCATAACTGTGCGATATGATCTTGCTAGTGGAAATAAGTGAAGAAGATTTATCAAATGTCTGTAAGATAATACATTTTCCTGAGCAATGACTTTCCCGGTAAATATGTCACCCAGACTTCAGTCAACAGGGGCTTCTGGGTCAAGGTCATTGTGCTAGATATTTCGGGAGACACAAAAAGGAATAAAACACAAAAATGTCCTTAGAAGGGTCATAGTTACTTCTAAAGAACATCATGGAAATCCTGTCTCCCACCCACCAAAGCAAACATATGATTCATGAACTATAGTCCCATGATGTGCATAATGATCAGGGCAAACCAGGCCCACACAAACACACTTGACACATGAGTGACTGATCTCATATTACCTCTAATTATTTTTCTCCAAAGAAATTGGTACAGAAATGTTTGTACTGAGTGATAGTGTCTCCTGAGTTGTCTTCTTGTTACATTTGGTAAATGAAATGTATCCTTTCTGAGATAGAAGGCCACGTCCTTTACATGGCTGTGTAGTCAGTGGTGGTAAACTTAGCCTAAAACATCCAGTGTGTGGACTCTTCCTCCCAGTCACTGCATGTGAGACATACTAGGTAAGAAATGCAAAAGGGCCGGGCGGTGGTGGCGCACGCCTTTAATCCCAGCACTAGGGAGGCAGAGCCAGGCGGATCTCTGTGAGTTTGAGGCCAGCCTGGGCTACCAAGTGAGTTCCAGGAAAGGTGCAAAGCTACACAGAGAAACCCTGTCTCGAAAAACCAAAAAAAAAAAAAAAAAAAAACCTGAAGAAATGAAAAAGGACCCTGCATTGTAATACCCATTCCAGAATTGGAGCTTTGTCCATGAACCAAGCCATTCCACTCATCCTAATACGAGCCCATGTACAATAAACTTCATTTTCTTACATTTAGCAACAGTGAAATGAGGTCTGTGCATGTTAATGGAATGCATAGCTGGAGTTCTCCCCAGGCATGGCTGCTTCCACAGCACTCACTTTCTCTAGCAAATCACATTCAGTCAGTGGTCACAGAGTGTCCTGTAGCTCTCGGGTCCCATGCTGGGACCTGTTTTTATCTACCCCATTCTTACTAAGCAGATCACTCATGACAAACAGGACAACGAGATGGATAATTCTATAACCACTTTATTCTTCAATATTCATCCCACATCTGCTATCCTAGCGGTGAGGATGTTTATCTCATTCTTTGTTTCTAATGACTATCACACACTTCCTTGCTTTGTGTCAGTGTGACAAATTCTTCATTGTCTTGTTCATTAATCATTCCATTGGCTGAGTGACTCAGGCTGTCACACAGTAGACAATTACAGGATTATTTTATGGGGAATCAACATGTTATAGCGAAATTTCCATTATTTTTACATTCCTTGCTGGGATGTATTTCTTTGTTTTCAAAAGCAGACTTCTTATTCTGGAATCATTTATTTCTCTGCGAAACTATGCACTGACTATCACAAACACTTTGGAAGACAACAGGTTAACAAATCAAGTATTTTTTGTTTTACCTCCCACTCCTTCTGTATATATCTTAAAAAGAGTAAAACTTCATGTTTGGGGGGAGTGTCTGCCTTAGAATCCGACTATGGTTGCCTATGTCATTACTTTAGACCTAAACATAAGAACACTTGCTCCTTTGGTTCTGAATTATTCCCTTAATGAGGACAGTAATGACCACAACCAGAATTCCAGTCCCGAGCCTTCCCTGACCTCCCAATGGTGCTCCTCAGTGTGACCACCAGCAGGCCAACAAAGCCCCTGAAGTCTGCAAATTAATAGTAACCTTCCACCCCCGGATTCAACATGAGCCTTATAAAAGCTCAGAGCAACATCAAAGCCATTCTAACAGGGAAAGGGAAAAGTGCTGCCTGTGGGAACAGACACATTGTATTAGCATTTGGCAGTGACCTTTGAACAAGGAACTCAGCCAGATAAGCATACACGTCCCACACAGCAGCTCAGGAGAGGTTAGTAATCAACACATCTGGATCCCAGTCTCACCTTGGGATTCTTCGCTGATATTTAAGGTGCTGCAAGCTGCCAATCCCAACACTGTGTGTGTTTAACTCACTTTCCCCATGGTGACTGTAATCCCAGTCACCTCCAGCAAGAAGAACCGGGGACTTTGGGCTGTGTTTGTTTCCATTTGCTTCATCTGCTGAAGCTCAAAGAAGCAATAAAGCTCGGATTCTTCTCCTGTATCAGAAGCGTGGCAGAGTTCAGCTCTCAGTCTTTTATTTTGCCCATGAGATAAGGGTCTTAAGATCATAGCTGAATGTAGTTTTGACTCTTGGTCTGCCATCCCTGTGAATACTCACATGGTGTTGGGTACAGCTTCATGGAAATCACATCAAGAGCTTACTGTACTTGTAAAACAGTCTGCAGAGGATGTAGTGCTCGCCTAATTACCCAGATGTGTAAACGTCCAATGAGAGTCAACTTAATTGTGTATTCCGTCTGAATCTCTCCCTTCTTATATGTTTCGACAGCATCACAGCTGACTCCCTGTGTCCCTGCCATCCAGGTACTTTAAAGGGAAGGGAAAAGATTTCATGGCTAAAACCAAGCTTCAGTTAGCTCCTTCAAAGAGGGGGTGGGGCAGACAGTAACATTACGCTGGAAACAACACCCTTTTATATAAATGCTGCATGCACCCATGGATTCTAGTGTTTACAACACATTCACCCACACTTGTGAAGTACAGCTTTAAAAAATAAAAACAAAAAAATACCAGTGCAATTATACTCACTCGTTGCCTTGTTTCTAGGCATAAATTTGGGGGTAAAACATTCATAGCTTTATCAGTGATGATAAGCAATGGCGTT